AGGGTGGTTGGATGTCATCATAAAGATGCCCTTGCCTAGAATATCTAAAGAACTTGAGACAGTAAAAGGGTAAAGTTAAAAAAAAGAGAGAGAGATTTTGACAGTTTTTGACTAAAAGTTGATTTTTTTTTTTTTCCTATTAGTGGATTAAAATGTAAGTTATATTCATTCACATCGTAAAGATTTTTACACTTTCGGTGAACTTTACATCTTGTTTTGGATGATTGTTATATATCGTTTCATAATATAGTATTGTATTGTACTATATCATTTTGATCTAACAGGGTTTGGATAGATTGTATTGTTTGTCGTCGTTTCATGAGTCATACATCAGTAATATGAAAAATAAAATTATAATACTATAAAGAAAAAGTAAGTTACAAGGTAGAATTATTATATAAAAAAGTAGGGTAAATGATAAAATAGGATTACTTAATAATACATAAGGGCAAGATGAGAGAAAATGATAAGATAATCAGGCGATCACACCAAATCGATCGTTCCATAAAGTGATTTTTTTCGCTGTTACGTAACGACGAATTTAACGGTATGATATAATAAAATTTAAGTAATAATCAAAATAAATATTATATTTAAAGTAACAATACGATACAATACATCAGGTAACAACCGTCCAAACAAGCTGTTAATATATGAATGTAGGTCGCTAACTATTTTTAGAGGTTACCGATTAATTTTATTATAAAATATACATATAATTATCTTATAAGTGATCTGATCATAAGTAGAATGAGTATTTTGTGTATATTTTCCAAACACATGTACTATTTCTTTTTAAACTAAAAGCTTGTTGCTTTTCCTTTTTCTTCACGCCTGCAAAAAAGTAGCATTTTCGTGAAGGACCAGTGGTATAAATTGTTAAAATGAGTATATGTTCGGTTGAAATAATTTTCAAAAATGAATTCTAGCAAAATAATTATTAAACCAGATTAAAGAAAATAGAAAAGACGAAATAGACATAAACGGTACGCAATGTTGCAAGCTGAAGCAAGCGAGAAATATATTTTTAGCCACTCCCAATAATAATAGCCGATACAATATATATATATATATATATATATATATATATATATATATATATATATATATAATAAAAAATAGACATAATTTATATACTTTTTCACTAATGAATGCAATTAGTTTCGCTCGTATGGGCAAGTTTATATTTTGCCCAACTCCTATTGCTACGAACCCAATAAAGGCCCATGTTGTTTGGCCTATAGTCTTCGTAAAAATAGCATTGGCTAGCTAGTTTTCGGATTGATCATTTAAAAATAGCCAGCGTTTGTGAAGTCATTTGAAAAATAGCCACTATTTTGCTGCAACAGGGACCAGTCCAGCATAATATACTGGAGATCGGTGCACCTGTGTATGAACTTCCAGCATATTATGCTAAAACTTCAATACACGGAAAGTTCCAGCATAATATACTGGAGATTGGAGCACTTGTATATGAACTTCCAGCATATTATACTGGACCGGTATATTATACTGGAAATCCAGTATATTATGCTGGAAGTCCAGTATATTATGCTGGAGTTCCAGTATACTTATGCTGGAACTCCATTATAATATACTGGAGTTCCAATATACTTATGCTTACTGGAACTCCAGTGTATTATACTGGACTTCCAGTATATTATGCTGGAACTCCAGTATATTTTGCTGGAGTATTTTTCGGATTTTGAACAGTATTTTCGTTCAGATTTATCTTTACATAAAAAGTGGTTAAATTTTGATTACTTTTGAAACTGTGATTATTTTTGAATGACCACTTGTGAATCTGGCTATTTTTGAATTTCTCCCATAATCTTCGGCCCAACTCCTTTAGCAATTGGCCCTTACACAATAGGATGATTTGCACAAATAGGACCATTTAAGGTTGCCGTTTAAATTTTGTCCTCTTTTAAGGAATTTGTGCAAAAATAGCCTCACGGGTCATAACTTCTTCATGAATTATGTAGAGTGGAAGAATGGGAATTTTGCTTTCACAACTATGCTTACAGGTCATAAATTTGGTACAAATTACTTACAAATTCTATCGAATAGACAAAACTTTTCTTATTCACAATTATACGAGACAAGCATTAATTTGGTACAAATAATTTACACGTTTTCTTTTTGGATGGACAAAACTTGCTTAAATATATAGTTTTTAATTGTTCACAAATTATGTCGGACTGACAAGAAAAACTAATCAATCAAATAAAGGGCAAGGTGCACAAATATATTCATAATTTACAATATATTTAAAAATTAATTAATTCGCCAAACTTTCGTATTAAATACCCTGAATTTTTATATCCTAAAGTTTTGAGCCACTAATTAAGAATTGAGAACTTAGTGTCCTAAATTTTTAGAATGCTAATTTGAAATTCAGGACATAAGATTCGAATTTCTAGGCATAATTTTTGAACTTTAGAACACGATGTCCTGACGGTTGAACCTCAAGGTTCATGGTTCAAACTTCAGACGCATCTTAAAGTTAGAAGAGAATTGACTAATATTTAAATATATTATAAACTGTAAAATTTTTTTAAACAATATGCTAAACTGTGACTACGTGGTATCATTTCCACTCACATATCAAAACAAAAGGACCTAACTTGTTTTTCTCCAATCCCAACTTCATTACCCATATCGAAGACAAACAAACTACTAATTCTTTTATCGGGAGAAATTAAAAAATAGTCAGATTTACAAGTGGTCATTCAGAAAAAAATATAATTTCAAAAGTTATCGAAAATTTAGCCACATTCAAAGATAAATTTGAACGAAAACAATGTTCAAAATCCGGAAAATACTAATTCGAGTATATTATGCTGGACCGGTCTATGTTGCAGCAAAATAGTGGCTATTTTTCAATGACTTGACAAACGCTGACTATTTTTGAATAACCAGTCCGAAGCGACTATTTTGACTCCTTTACCTTCTGAAATTTGTTTTTTTAAGTCTAATCCAAAACTAATACAGAAATAGACTAAGAGCCCGTTGGCTTAGCTGATTTAGAGTAGCTGATAAGCATTAGGTGCTGAAAAGCACTTTTAAGTGCTGAAGCTGATTTAAAAAATAAGCAGTTACGTGTTTGGATAAAAGTGTTGAAATTAATAATATGCAGTTAAAGAACCAGGTATATGAAAAGTTTTTTTTTTTAAAAAGTAGTATTTTAGGGATAGAATAGTAAATATTTTGGTCAAACTTAAACTGCTTATTAGCAGAAATTTAATAAGTTGGGGGAGACCAACTTATGACTTTTGGCTTATTTTTGACTTATAAATACTTAACTTATAAGCACTTTTAATTTTACCAAAAGCCTAAATAAGCCAAAAAGTAATTATAAGTCAATTTGAACAACTTATAATCTTAGCCAAACACCCTCTAATACTAATTACAACCTTTTAACTACAACTGCACGTTCAAGCTTTCTCTGCAATTTGCCATTTTATTTCTCTCTACTTAATCAGTCATTCATATACAATAATTTTCTTACTAAAAGAATGGCAAATCAACCCTCTTCTTATCCAATTCTCTGTGCTTCTTTCAATCAAGACAACAGGTAATCCTCCATTTTTTTTACAAGAAAATTTGTGGGTATTAATTATTCGTCAATATTGTTTTAGTTGTTTGTTTTAATTGTTGTTTTAATCTTTAAATAGTTGTTTTGCAATTGGAACAAAGGAAGGATTCAAAATCTTTGATTGTAATACTGGAAGACTCCTTTACGAAAGAGGTATGTAAACAATCTCCAATATTTTTTTTTTTAAAATTTTGGAGGTCCAGTATTTTATTATGAACTAAAAAGGGTTTTTTAAAAAGCTTATAAAGTGATAACCTTTGATTGAAATATTGAATATTATGGAATATTTTGGAAATTTTACGAGTTTTAAATTGAGCTAAAAATAGTATCCTTATTTTTATTTTTTGTTGTTTCAATGTTGTTGATAATTAATTTCCAGTTAAAAAGTTCAATATTTTGCTTATTTTTTGGCTTGTTTTCTTGGCTGCAGGTCTATTATTTTTTATGAATTAAAAAGGGTTTATATAAAGGCTTATAAAGTTATGATCCTTGATTGAATATTATGGGAAAAATGTGGAAATTGCACTAGTTTCTTGTAAAAGTAGTATTTTTTTTTAAATATTATTTGTTGCTTCAATGTAGTTGATAATCAAATAACCAGCTAAAAGTTGAAGAATTTAGTGTAGAAACAGAACCAATGGGATATAACAATTTTTAGAGCCAAAAAAAGGGCAGCCCGGTGCACGAAGCATCCGCTATTCATGCAGGGTCCGGGGAAGGGCTGCACTCAAGGGGTGTGATGTAGGCAGCCTACCCTAATGCGAGCTTCAGTGGCTGATTCCACCGCTCGAACTCGTGACCTATACGTCATGGAGACAACTTTACCATCTCTAAGGCTCCCCTTTAATTTTTAGAGCCAAAATGTTGGGTTTTTAACTTATTTTCTTGGCTTAGCAGCTCCAGTATTTTCTTAGAGCCAAAAGGTTTTTTCCTAAGGCTTATAAAGTGATGATCTTTGGTCCAACATTATGCAAAATTTTGGATTTTTCATAAAGTTTAAGGCGTAGTTGCTTTCTTGTATGATCAGCTAGAAGAAATACAGTTAAAATTGGTTATCTTTTATTTTTGGATTGCTTCAATGTAGTTGATAATCAGTATCCAGCTAAAAGTTAAGAAGTTTGTTGTTAAAATGGAACTTATGGGATATAAAGTCATGATCTTTTTTGTTATGTTTTCATAACAAAGTTGGAGATACAAGTTAGCTTCAGTATCCTGACAAATTCATTTTATGTTAGCTGCTGGAGCATTCATTATAGTAGAAATGTTGTTTAGCTCAAGCCTCCTAGCAATCGTTGGGGCTGGTGAACAGGTTCGACTATTTACTACTAATTATTCGTTGTAGTCCTTTTAACTGTAATCTACTATATTTTTAATTAGTTACGTTACTACTTGTGTCGTTTCAACAGCCATCTTTGTCGCCGCGAAGACTATGTATGTTTAATACTACGACTGGAGTAGCTCTTGAGGAACTAAACTTTTTAACTTCTATCCTTGCTGTTCGTATGAATAAGAAAAGGTACATCTGCTTCATTTTAAGATTCTCATTGTTCAGTTTTCTATTCCTTTGACATGTTGTAGTCAGATATTCTCATAGTAACAAGGAAAGATTGATGTTTTAGAGGGATAAACTATTTTGGTTAAAAGAAAGTTGTAGATTAGATTGGATAGGGCTATTCGAATTTGCCGAGGGTCTACCGGAAGCAACCTCTCTACTTTCTCAAGATTGGGGTAAGGACTGCGCACATACTACCCTCCCCAGACTCCACTTGTGTGATTTCACTGGGTTTGTTGTTGTTGTATCACCTGCAGTAAGAGCATACTTATGTAAACCTCTTTGTCTTTATCTTAACAAACAAATTAAACAAGCGAGAAGAATTCATTTTGAGAAGCAGAAAGACTAAACATACACAACCTTTAGCAGGTTTTCTCTCATTGAACTGACAATGGTTACTATCGATTAGTCTGAGATCATACTAATGTTCAAAATTTTCCTGTTAAAATATCAGACTTCCATATAATCTTTTCTTGTGGCAGCTAGTATTTCTTTTCCCCCTACTATGAAATATGCACTTGATTCTGAATCAAACAGAATGAATATATTTGTTCTTCGTAACAATTGTTAATGCATTCAATTCTTTTATCCCCTTGTTCCCGATTCATCTTCAAACAATGTCCTCGAATTTGCAGATTGATTGTCATATTGCAGGAGAAGACATTTATTTATGATATAAACAGTCTTAAGATATTGGACACTATTGATACGGTGCCGAATCCAAAAGGTCTGTCCGGAAAATCTTTTTTTCATGTTGTATTGACTTCACTCTCACTTTGTTTACTAGATTGGTTTGGAAAATACCCCACCCCGCATAAAAAGATCAACCCAAAAATGAAAAGAATAAAAGAAGTCACTGCCTTATAACTTTCAGGTTTTCGTTTAATGAAAGTAGATGCTATAAAGTTCCAGTTGGCCTAGCACATTTGCTTATCAACGAGTTCTTGTTTCCAATTTTAGGACTTTGTGCATTTTCACCCAGCTTGGATGGTTCATATTTGGCTCTTCCAGCAAGTACAACCAAAGGATCTTTGTTAGTCTATAATGTTTCCGACCTCCGTTTACACTGTGAGGTCGTGTTTCTTACCGTTATGTGTATTAATCTTACAAAACCATTTATAATAAGATCAATGGGTTTGAGATGTTATAAATCATAATTTTTAATAGTTTAGCGCTTTCCTATCCTTGAACCAACTCTGTTTACAAACATTTTTTTTTAACTTTACAAAACAGAGGAGTTTGTCTTATTTCGGTTACTGTTATAAAAATGCAGATAGATGCTCATCGAGCGCCATTGTCTGTCTTGACACTTTCATCAGGTGGGACTCACATTGCAACGGCGTCTGAACAAGGGACCATGATCAGAGTTCATCTTGTTTCAGATGCAACTAAGGTGAACCCTCAAGAACATATTGTATCAAAATGTGATACTAAGTAGTACTCCCTCCGTTTCAATTTATGTGAACCTATTTCCTTTTTAGTCCGTGCAAAAAGAATGATCCATTTCCATATTTGGAAGCAATTTACCTTTATACTAGCCAGTAGCCACACAAAATATATGTTCCTCATTTTATACAAGTTCAAAAGTCTTTTTTTTTTTTTTAAACTCCGTGCCCAGTCAAATAGGTTCACATAAATTGAAACGGAGGGAGTATATATTTCGAGAGATGTATTTCTCTGCCATCATAGAGCTTCTGCATTGGTATGTACACTGATGACTATCGAGCTCAGCTTACAAATTCTAGAACTAGTTTGAGTTTGATACAAACAAGTAAATAGTGTGTGTACATTATTTGGGAAAAATGAGAATGGAGAACTATTAGCGGTAATTAGTACATTACCTATAAACAAAACAGGTCGTTACATAGTGAGACAGTACCGTTTCACTTGCGATATGTTATGTTACATATCATTACAATTGTTAGGTAATTGATGCTTCTGTGTCACAACTTCATTTGAATTATGCCTTTTGGTTGATTGTTATTCAATTCCGTTGGCAGTCATATAGCTTCAGGAGAGGGACGTACACTTCAAATATCTTTTCTTTGTCGTTCGCGCCAGCAGCAGAACTTCCAGATATTCTTCTTGCAACTAGTTCTTCTGGTTCTGTTCATGTTTTCTCTTTGAGTTCACCCCCAAATCAAAGGTGAGATCTCAATTTCTCAAGTGCAATTGATTATAAGCATCTCGAATCTGATCGTTGGCTAAAGAGCCACCAATTAATATCTTCCTTTCCCTTTCTCATCCTCATTTCACCTTATTGTCTCGTTTTAGAATTTGTTCGAAGTTTTTGCAGATGATCCAACTGTTGCTGTCCCCGATATCATGTTTGTTTTTCCTTATCGATTTTTTCTTTTGTGCTTATTTAAATATAGTTACACATTTGATTGACCTCCATCACTTCTCTTCCTATGTCCGACCATTTTTGCTGAAATAGTCTTAAAACCTTCATCGGAAGTAATTAAGGGCTATTTTCATAAAAATAGCCACTTTTGTCCATTGTTATCCTTATCTGGCCGTTTTTGCCAAGATAGTCTCAAAACCTTCTTTATTATTATTATTATTATTTTTTTTTTGATAACTGAGAAATCCGTCTGGGGCCGATCCTTTGGACCAACCGCAGCCTTCGAAACTCGGTGGATAATGGGCTCGCCCCCTCTACCCTTCTCCACTTAAATACCAGGCTTTGCTTTGCATTGTGTGGGGGCTTGAACCTGTGACCTAAGACACAAATCCACCACCCTTTGCCACTTGAGCTAGGCCCTGGGGGCTCCTTCTTTATTATTATTGATACATTAGTATGCACATCTCTATTGCTTAATAGATTAGCCCTTATATTTTTTGTTGCTAAACTGCGAAGTAAAGCTGCACTGTTGATGATTGATTCAATTACCTTATTTGTGTCTTCTTCTTACTTCCACTATAAATTGTACAAGGTCTTCTGGTCTTCTAGCATCAATAATACCAATACCTCATACTGTTAGCGACGCCTTGGATCCTGCTCAACATTGCATACTGCATCGCGCTGTTCCAGCTCGAGTGAGAAGGTATTGTATTCTATCCACAAAGTATACCAGCAAAATTTGATGTTTTGATGTATGCTAAATTGGCGTAAGTATTTGCAACCTTCAGTACATATTTAACAAAGTCAAGCTAATAATCAAGACCTGTTACCTTTTTGTCACGCACTTGAAGCTGGTTTTTTTGCATCTACATTTCCTGCTTTCGTGCAAATTATTCAGATGACCTTTCTGCACTTTGATCCTGTGAAAATTTATTATATGGAGATTTTATACAGTTACTTTGATGTTACGATTTCCAAAATATTACCTTGTCATTGTTCTCTTAGTCCCCAAGTAGGGTGCTGTACCAAAGGGCCACAGTCTCTTCTCGGATTAAAGACCTTACGTCATTACTGAAATTCCAAATGTTTCAAGTACTTGATTTTTCTCTAGGTAAAGGTGTTGCAATTTGTCCTGCCTATTATTATGAAATATTGGCTATCCTGCACGATGATGGCGTCTTTAGCTATCCTGCGTGATGATGGCGTCACCTCTGCTCCTCGCATCCACAAGTGCCAGAGACTTTTGTTCTTACCTCTTTCAACTGCCTCGCTATTTCTGATGATTGAGTAGAATTGACATTGTAATATCAGATTCTCCTAACAAAGTGACTATACTATGTTGCTCGGATTCTCTGAAAATGTTGTCGGATGTGTATGAAATCCTATAAAAGTAGTGCATTTTGGAGGATCCAACACGGGTGCGGTAGCACGTTGGAGAGTCCGTGCAACATAAACTATAACAGCAATTTTGAGCTTGTTCAAATGAAATTGGTCAACCTTAACCTGGAATTCGATGTCAGTAAGATTGCCCTTCAAACGCTGTGGAAAAACAATAGGTTTCTCGAGTTCATACCAAGATAAGAGCTGGAATTTTTTGGATAAAACAACTGGAGCTCTTCTATGACCTAAAGCACCTGACCTATAAGATATATTGTCGACGAAATTTTGGGATCAGCTGCTGGTAGCTGCAGAAAGAGGTCTAATCACCCTATTAAAGTTCACCTTCGCTATATTGGAAAGGGACTTCACAAGTCTGGAGGAGATACTAACAATCTTCTTCTAATAAAGAGGATATCATGATTATCTTTAATTGCTGATAAACCTTCGTTTAAGTAGAGAGATTTCAGATTAACAGCCACTCCCTTCTAGATTCCTATGCTTAATTTATAAATTATAGTAGACTTTTTAACCTATATTGTTATTCTTAATGGATGTAGTTGCAATTTAAGGAACGACGCTAATTATATTGGCTTGTTTTGCATCTAAGAAATCTTGCTTGTGAACAATGAAACTAGTATGAACTTGTTCTGTACTCTTCAATCGAATTTCAGTTTGTCTTCCACCTTTTCTATCTTTAGGAAATAAATCTCCTGAAATCTATCTCTCATCAAAATTCTTCTCAAACGCTGTCGTGCAGTAATACAGTGATCCGCAAAATAGAGAAATTTGACGAGACAGCAACACCTGAACATGTAGCACTAAGGTGAGAAAATGTGACTGTTTCCATTTATTTATTGTGCATCTATTCCTGTAATATTCACCCTATTTCATGAACTGGTAATATTAATATAAGCCTCTAGCAATAAGCGGCCGAAGTGCCAATGAGATGCCTGAGGCTAAGCAGGAGGTCTCAACAATCCTCTGCTCTAGTTATTAGTTATATGATCTGCGGATTCAAAAAAGCTACTTGCTATATAATCCAAGCATCTTGAGTTAATGAAACTCGAAGCTTTGGGGTTTTAGTGTTCAGGTTATAGGTATTATCTTTAAATGCTACTCCGATTTCGAGTCATGTCAATGGAGCACCGTTTGATCCTCCCTCGGTTGTTTTTTTTTTTTTTCTTTTTTGTGTGTGTGTGTGTGGGGGGGGGGGGGGTATTTAACTCATAATGTGACATTTCTATAGTATATTGGATTGGTATATTATCATACCAAGTGTCCGTAAATCGTTTGAGTTTGTGTTTGAAAATGGATGGCTCTTTCATTTTACTCTCTTCGGTCTGTATTTGATTCTGTAGAGCCACTATATCTATGATCACGTATGGCGGATACTTCCTGCAGTACATCTACAATGTCAACCATCAGAACAAGTCCTCGTGGACCTTGGAACGAGAATTCAATCTTATAACAGCAGAAACATCCTCATTATCATGAAAGTAAAGACTGCAACACCAATCTTGAGGTTCATCGTAGCTTTATGTTAAAGCCGAAACTGCAGCCTGTCCTGCTCGAGTTGCCACTCTATCGGTCAATGTACATTATAAGAAGAAAGGCTACATAACTTGTCCAGTAGAACACAATTGACAATTTGTCCAAAATGTATTTCTACTGTGCATATAATTTTAGTGTTACTTTAATTCTGCTCTTGATAGTGCATCTGTGTAGCAATTGTACAGCCAAAAAACTGAAGTTATATTTATGGAAGTTCCTTTGTATTATTAGCCTTTTCATACATTGATATGTAAATTTAGTTTTGTTCGTCATCACAGAGGCGGGGCTAGGAATTTAACTTTATGGGTTCTGGATTTTAGAACGACGACTTCAAGTGCTAATAGTTAAGTGTTAAATTTAATATTTGTTTATAATCAATAAATTTTTTGACACAATATTGTTTGAGCAAAAGCTATTGAGTTCAGTTAAACCTGTAGTCGGATTTCTAGCTCTGAGTAAGAGTTATCGCTGTGTGCCGGGGAGATCATAAGTTCAAGCCGTAGAACAAAAATCAGTTGATAATGTTGTCAACATTATAATATGGTTATCATATGTGACATACTTTTATATCCAATTTAACACTTAAAAAAGATCCAAGAATTTCAAATATCCAATCCTACACTAAAAACTGATTAGAAAATTATATCATGGATATTAGAGACCATTAAATTAATAGATAAAACTAGCATTACAATTTCAGTTTCTGACTTTTTTGACTAATAAACTGCGCTGGCAGGATTTTCGAGTTTTAAATAGATGAAAATCTGAAGAAAATATTCCCCTTACCATGTCAAATTTAATTTGATTAAATATTGATCTAATTAATCTCACCAGTAGTTTCTTAATAACAATTTTCTTGAGTTCCCAGCAATAATTCACTTGCCATAATTGTTCCCTCTCAGAGTTTACATCGACCAATAAATATATGGCATGTGTGCCTATAAAATTCACTTACGACTCGTTTTTACAATAATTAATAGTGTCATTCCGTTCCCAAGACATATTTCCATAAACTATCGTTCTCCTACATTAATCTTTATAGGAGAAGAAAAACTTGTTTTCCAAGAAAATTAAGGATCGCTAATTTTTTATGGAAATAAATTAAGCTAGTCTATAATTCTTTCCAACCAAGAAATTTAACCTATAGCCAAAAGAAAAAAACCCCACTAAGAAAGAAAATAGCAATAAAATTAGGGCTAGTTACACATTTGGCCGGTCGGCCAAAAATAATTACATCTGCTAGCTAAATATACGAAAAGTATACACTAATTATATATAAATTATGTATCTTATACATTAATATGCAAAATATATACAGTTTCTCGACTATTATTTTTGGGAGCGACTATCATTTAGTTTTCCATAAGCAAACTAAATAGTTTTCTTTGTGGGCCCACAGTAACTTATAAATACCTTTGTGGGCCCACAGTAACCTATAAACTAAATAGTTTTCTCATTCTGCGTGTTTTCGTCTTACTTCCCTCTAAGGTATGTTTACCAAAATCCTTTTTAATTTTATTTTTTGCTTTAAATCTCAAACTTTTGTATTAGTTGAGCTTAAATAGTGATGATTCATATAGTCGACCCCAACTTGTATGAAACTAAGACGTATATATGTTTGCTACGATATGTTAAATTTTTTGGAAGACAACGAATGAATTAGCTTTCTCTTTGTCAAGTATTGATTATGTTTGTTTTAATCTCCTTTATTGATTTGAGTTAGTTGATTAATTTGATAATATATGAACAATATAACAATAATAACAACCTTTTGCTAGTGGGTTATGGAAGGGTGTTCACTGTTCAAAGTCTTTTTTTGATCGATAACAAGTAATATTTTACCATATACACAATATAACTTTTCGGCGAAGGGTGTTCAGCTGATCACCCCTTGCCGCACATAGCTTCGCCCCTGCTCATAAGTGGGGTTTGAGGAGGGTAGCGTGTACGCAGACTTTACCCCTACCTTGCGGAAATAGAAATGTTGTTCCTAGTAGACCCTCGGCTCAAGAATAATATATGATCAATATGTTCCATAATTTTGCCTGTTGAAAGAATATATTGTGATTATCCTAGTACGTCTTTATTTCCAGATTACCTCTAAACCATGTACTGTTCATGACTTTTGGGTGATAAAAGAAAGATTTTTCCCTTAAAAGAAAGAAAGAAGAGTAAAATCTGTAATAAGATTATTCTTTATAATTAAAATCAATTGTTGTAAGATGCTATTTTTCTTCATTGATATTCCATATCTCAATATTCGAAAACTTAGGCATTGTTTGTCATTAGCGGATTGCGTTTGGTATTAGCTTGTCAAGTTTTAGAGACGGATAAATTCTGTAGCTAAACAGAAAAATCCGGCAATGGTACGAGCATGATTTCTCAAATCATACCACCACGGGTCACTAAGATGCTTGCAGATGAGTTTGGAACTGCATCCAACATCAAAAGTAGAGTGAATCGTCAATCTGTATTGGGCGCCATCACATCTGCTCGACAAAGACTTAAACTCTATAACAAGGTTCCACCAAACGGGCTCGTGCTTTACACAGGAACAATCATGACTCAAGACGGGAAAGAAAAGAAGGTTACATATGATTTTGAGCCTTTTAGGCCGATTAACGCGTCTTTATATCTTTGTGATAACAAGTTCCATACAGAACCCCTTGACCAATGTGAAATTTATGCACGAGATCGATATAATTGTCAAGTATTTTGAGGAGATTAGTCAGGACACTGGGAAGTATGTCGTTGGGGTTGATGATACAATGCAAGTTCTAGACACGGGCGCTATTGAAACCATTATTGTGTGGGAAAATCTCGACGTTACTAGGTATGTTTTGAAAAATAGCAGTACTGGAGAAACAATAATCAAACACTTGAATAAGGAGCAAGATGCAGACGAGAGTAACTTTCGCGAACCTACTACAAATGGGGAGTTAGAGATTATGGATAAAATGCCTTTACTTGAGTGGTTAGCTAATGAGTACAGGAAATTTGGTTGTAGTTTGGAATTTGTTACAAATAAATCACAAGAAGGATCTCAGTTCTGTCGTGGTTTTGGTGGCATTGGCGCTATTCTTCGTTACAAGCTTGATGTTCGAGCTTTTGATGATGTTTCTGACGACGGTGAAGTTTATGAAGAAGTTTATGTTAATTCTGAATAGCAATCATCCAACTTAAAAAATGCCAGTTTAGTAATGGAGCAGGAATATTGCACTGGTGCGCGAGGAGGGCTCATGCCTGACTCGGCTGCTGCTGATGTGCTTAGCCACAAATTAGTGGGCGCTCTTAAGGTAAGTGAGCAGAGATGTAGTCTTATTCTTGAATGTTATAATCTATCTTCTTTTGCGTGCAAAATGTCTNTGAAAGAGTTTAAACTATACTGCATCATTCACTACTAAAAAACAGACGCGCAAATTCTGTAGCTAAACACAAAAATCTGTCGCTAATTCCACTTTAGCGACGGATTTGGCGACAAATTATCAAAAACTCTTGTTAGCTATGAGCGATTATGCAAAGAAGTTCGTATCTAATTCTAGTTTTTTTGCTGTAATGATTTCCTTTCTAATAATCTTTTCATTTTCGTGGTTTACTAGATGGATGATCGGCATGAAGAAATGACTGCGAGTAGTTTCTTCGCGTTTGTCTGAGCAATATGTAGCTCACTTTCATCTCACAAACGCCGGTGCAGCAGTTGAGCAGGAAGCCAGTACTGGTGCACAGCGTCTAGCACCTGGATTGGCCGCTCATGTGCTTAGCGGATTACTAAGAGCTCTTCAGGTAAGCGGGCAGAGACCTCGTCTTGTCCTTGAACGTAAAGTAGAACAATCTGCAACATTCTTATAGTCTTTTCTTTTTCCTGGTTTACTAGATGGATGACCTGCATCATGAAGAAACAAAGTCGCGAGTAATTTCTTCGCGTTTGTCTGAGAAATTTGAAGGTCATGTTCATCCCTCACGTGGCGTGTTTGCCGAAAGAACGGAAACAAGATCCATATAACGGTTTAGCATCTTTACGCTATGCTCCTTCGAGTTTGGTTTAGTACTATCATATCATCTAGGAAGCAAGAAGTTTTGAATAATATGCAGTAATATGCTGAGCCCTTGACTCGAAGGAGCAATTAAGTTATCTGCTGAGCCCTTGACCAATGTGAAATTTATGCACGAGATCGATATAATTGGCAAGTATTTTGAGGAGATTAGTCAGGACACTGGGAAGTATGTCGTTGGGGTTGATGATACAATGCAAGTTCTAGACACGGGCGCTATTGAAACTATTATTGTGTGGGAAAATCTCGACATTACTAGGTATGTTTTGAAATATAGCAGTACTGGGGAAACAATAATCAAACACTTGAATAAGGAGCAAGATGCAGACGAGAGTAACTTTCGCGAACCTACTACAAATGGGGAGTTAGAGATTATAGATAAAATGCCTTTACTTGAGTGGTTAGCTAATGAGTACAGGAAATTTGGTTGTAGTTTGGAATTTGTTACAAATAAATCACAAGAAGGATCTCAGTTCTGTCGTGGTTTTGGTGGCATTGGCGCTATTCTTCGTTACAAGCTTGATGTTCGAGCTTTTGATGATGTTTCTGACGACGGTGAAGTTTATGAAGAAGTTTATGTTGATTCTGAATAGCAATCATCCAACTTAAAAAATGCCAGTTTAGTAATGGAGCAGGAATGTTGCACTGGTGCGCGAGGAGGGCTCATGCCTGACTCGGCTGCTGCTGATGTGCTTAGCCACAAATTAGTGGGAGATCTTAAGGTAAGTGAGCAGAGATGTAGTCTTATTCTTGAATGTTATAATCTATCTTCTTTTGCGTGCAAAATGTCTTTTGAAGATTAAACTTATCTGCATCATTCACTACTAAAAAAACAGACGCGCAAATTCTGTAGCTAAACAACAAAATCTGTCGCTAATCCTACTTAGCGACGGATTGGCGACAAATTATCAAAAACTCTTGTTAGCTATGAGCGATTATGCAAAGAAGTTCGTATCTAATTCTAGTTTTTTTGTTGTAATGATTTCCTTTCTAATAATCTTTTCATTTTCGTGGTTTACTAGATGGATGATCGGCATGAAGAAATGACTACGAGTAGTTTCTTCGCGTTTGTCTGAGCAATATGTAGCTCACTTTCATCTCACAAACGCCGGTGCAGCAGTTGAGCAGGAAGCCAGCACTGGTGCACAGCGTCTAGGACCTGGATTGGCCGGTCATGTGCTTAGCGGCCAATTACTAAGAGCTCTTCAAGTAAGCGGGCAGAGACCTCGTCTTGTCCTTGAACGTAAAGTAGAACAATCTGCAGCATTCTTATAGTCTTTTCTTTTTCCTGGTTTACTAGATGGATGACCTGCATCATGAAGAAACAAAGTCGCGAGTAATTTCTTCGCGTTTGTCTGAGAAATTTGAAGGTCATGTTCATCCCTCACGTGGCGTGATTGCTGAAAGAACGGAAAGAAGATCCATATAGCGGTTTAGCATCTTTAAGCTATGCTCCTTCGAGTTTGGTTTAGTACTATCATATCATCTAGGAAGCAAGAAGTTTTGAATAATATGCAGTAATATGTTCTCTGAGATCATCAGTAGTATGCAATGTCAATAACTATATCATGTTGCTAGATTTTTATGACTGATATGTTGTGGGATAGCTAATTTCTGAACTATGAGTTAGTATTAGCCTCATTTGTTTTTTTAAGATTAAGAGGTCTGAATCTGAATACACATCTGAATATCAAGATGTGTATTAAGATTAAGCCATCTGAATCTGAATACACATCTGAATATATTAAGATGTGTATTAAGTTCTGAACAGAATAATTAAGACTGTTTGATTTTTAACATCTGAATGTATAAAATTTATCTTTATTTGAAAATTAATAAATGTAAAATTCAAATGAAATACTAACTAATCTAATATTTTATTAATAAAATGTATAGTTTTTAAAAATATGGTAGTTGTTGGTGGTGATGGCTAACGGGTGAATGCCGACTAGAGGCGGTGGTTGGTGGTAGTTTTGGTTGATGATAGTGGTTCATGCTAGTAGCTAGTAGTGATTGGTAGTGGTGGCGATTATGATTGAGGATGGTGGTGGTGGGTGGTGATAATTAATAATGTCGGGTGGTGGTAGTAGTTGTGATTGAGGAAGGTGGTAGATGAGTGGTGGTAGGTTATAATGATAGGCAGTGTCCGCTGTGGTTGTTGATGGTAATGGGGTGGGCAGTTGTGGTAGTTGAGGCGAATGAGTGTTGATTGTGGGTCAGAATGATGGTGGTCGGAGTGGTGGGGATAATCGATAATGGAGGCTATGATTGAGTATGATGGTGGCGTGGTGGTAGTGGTGGTGGGTGGTGGTGGTGGTTGAGTATGTTGGTGGTGGTTGCATGGTGGTAGTTGATAATGGCAGGCGGTGGCGGCAATTAATAATGAATATGTGATAGCATCTTAATGAAATTAAGTCTCTGTTATAGATCTTAATCATACAGACATATTCAGACCAATTAAGTGGTTGTGAAGTAAAAAAAAACAAACACACTTAATGATTAAGATCTGAATAATTAAGATTCAGACTTTAAAAACAAACGCACTTAATGTCTGAGATCTGAATGATTAAGAATCAGACCTCCATTAAGTGCAAACAAATGAGGCAAAGTTTGGGAGTTTTAACTTAAGTGCAATATGATTCAATAATATTATGTGATCTGAATGACTACTCTTGGGTACTACTATTATATTTGTTACTTATTTTCTCTCCTCTCCTCATCGACTGTTTTTGATCTTTTATTGCACTTGATTAGTCTCTATTTGAGTTACTACTGTTTCGAGCCGTGGAAGCAGCCACCAATGCTTGCATTTAGGTAGACTGTCTATATCATACTCCTTTGGGTGCGGTTCTTTTCCCGATCCTGCGTGAATGCGGGATGCTTTGTGCACTTGGCTGTTGTAGGTGTTGTTCCCTAAATATTCACTCGATTCTTACACGTTCGTATTATCAATTGGCTTAAGGCATAGTTCAGTATGTTGACATGTTTATGTATTTCAAAATTTCTAAGGGAGGAGAAACTATATCAAATCTTTGGGGTTTCTATCACCGACCCCAACTTGTCTGGGATAAAGGCGTAGTTGTTATTGAAATAAGTGTATTTCGACATCAATGTAGTTGTACTTGTCCTCTGATGACAAATATCTGGTATGATCTGCCCATGACTCAGACTCTAGGGTTTTGGTCTACTGATAAGAGCGCAACACGTACGTGATGTAAGGATTTGGCATATGTCATGGTATAGAACCTTGTCACCACCATATAAAAAGCTTAGTATTTAAGTAGAGAATTACAACACAGCGAAACTAAATGGTTCGAATCTAAATTGATTTTAGGCTGTACACCTAATTTTTCTGGGATTCTAGTTCAATCGGTTAGAGCACCGCCCTGAAGGCTAAAAGGATACTTATTGTTCGTCGAATTTAAAATTGTGCGTTACTGATCCTCCGAGATTTCTCGATTATAAAAGAAAAAAAGGGGATTTATTCACAATACATCTGGAATTTTTTTCCCTACTGTTGATTATCCAATAAAATTGATGAAAAATAAAATAAAAAATTTAGGAAATTATTTTTATTTTTAAATTTTTTTTCCTTTCATTGAACCAAGACTTCTTTTTGCTGATCTTCTTATTATATATGGTGGATCTCTTATGAAAAGCCTAGTATTTAAGTAGAGAAGACTAGAAGGATGGGCTTATTATTCATCAAGTTTAAAATTGCGGTTACGGTTTATGAAGCACTTATTTTTTTCATGGGAAATTACCGGCTATGTCCATTTATAAGTAGCTCATTACAAAAATTGGCCAATTGATAAAATATTACTAATATTAGCCAAATTAGCCAATTAGCTATTTGTAGCAAAAAAAAATATCAAATTTTTGCTTTGTTTTGAGTGGGTGTTATTAAAATAAATTGGGCATAACTTAAGGAGCTTGAATCTCAGTTTTGGGATGATTTGGTGAACTTTTGAGGTGGTTTGAATTGAAAATTCGAAGTAAAAGCTGAACATGAAAAAAAAATGATATGTGTATCACACTGTGTATCATTTGTGTATCACATATGTATCATATTTGTATCAATTGTGTACCACATGTATATCCATGTATACATGTGTGTGAGATACATACGTGATACATGTTTGATACATGTGTCGCAGAAGACTTTTCAACTCGATTTAATTACGAATTTTGATACAAAACCAGTCCAAATCACCTCCAATCTTCCTCAAATTTTGTAGATTGACTTATCTATATATTTTCAATGAATTTCAACTATACCCATTGAAAAAGTTCCTTTTTTGTTTAGATTTTTGGAATATTGTATAGCTTTTTATATTTCATCACCTTATTTGCTACCCCGTCCATGAAATTTTCTTTCCGTCTTATATCTAATGTTGCTAATCACGCTTAAAAATATGAAAGGTGATTTTTGCATGTGATTCTTTGAGAGAAAGAACCCTATTATTTGGTTTTTCAATTTTTGTTGGCTAGTTTTGGTAAGTCTATGACTAATGGCTAGAGGTTGGTAAGTTGAGATTTATTTGGGACATTTGTGTAAGTTTCCCTTTTTTCATTTCATATGATTAAACGACAAGTAACTTTTTAAATAAAACACCTTACAACGACCAACACTATGAAAGAATATAGTAAAATAATAATATTATAATTAAACCAAAAAATATATGAACAATGGAAAAAATATAACATCGTGGAAAAGTATGTTGGTATTTACTGAAATTTTCCCCAAAATATGCACTTTTGGCTGCCAAATTTCAGGAATGTGTTGTTTTTTGTGAGAATTCCAAAAATATTTAAAACACAGAGGTTAAGCCGTTAATTTATCTACAAACAGTTGAACCAAATTGAGTAACTTTGCTCAAAGTGTTTCAAAAAGCAATAAACAAGAATACGATTTATAAATCGCAAATAGTGAACGCGACTTATAAATCGACTTATAAATCCAATTCGCTAAATGCGACTTAATGCGATTAGAAATAAACCACAAATACCGAGCCATTTTCCAAGGTAAATAAATAATTAAATTACTGTAAAATATCATATTTTTTAAAAAAAGTAACCAAAAAAATATAACACAACTTACAAAGGAAGCAGCATCACCCCTAAATATTAAAAATGTATTGTAATATTCTCACCACTTATGATCCACTAGTTTAGTGCTTTGATAATAGAGGTCAGCAGTTCAAATGTATTAAAACATTGAATAAGTTGCATTATTCAAACTCTCACATAAAAAGTATTGATATTCTCACATCAAAAGTATTAAAACATAAAATGATGCTGGCCTCACATAAAAAATTTCTAAGGCAAAATTTCATTTCTATACACTATATGAAACTTTATTACATGTCCCTGATTACAATATTACCCGACCTGGACACGTATTCCCTACAGAATCTATACAAATTATTTAAAAAGGAATCCTTTCTGCTGTAACATTCCTTTTTTAGGAGCGAGAGTTTGGGATAGTAAAGGATTCTACCGAGATTTTTTCCAACGCATTAGTCTCCATTAATTAAGCCTGAAATTATTCCGTTTCTCTCACAATTTCGATACTCTGTTTTCCGAATACTCT